GGTGCCGCGGCCGTCGCGCAGTACCGCCGGCGCTCTTACTTGTCACGGATCCACGCAGCGACCTCGCGGTCGGGAGAGGCCGCCGTTGGCCGCGGCAGGTCTGGCGGGACCCTGGCCTCGTACAGCGCTGCCGCTTTGACGTTACCCACCGCGCGCAGCAGCTCCACCTCCTCCGGCTTCCACGCGTCGAGGCCGAGACACTTGCCGCGCGTCACGTGAGCGCCGAGCGCGCGGTGCAGGCCGTAGCAGCGATTGCACAGAAAGACGCCGAGCGTGACGGAGACAAAGCGGATGCGCCGGCGCTCATCGCAGTCCGCACACACGCTGTTTGCCGGCAGCTTGGCAAGCCGTTCCACCTCGGCGCTCAGCCGCGCTTGCAGCTTGGTGTCGCGCTTGTAGGCGTATGGGTCGGCCATCGGGCTGGAGGAAGCCGGCAGCGTCCCAGTCCCGATGGGCGCCGGGAGAAGTTTTTACAGTTCGCACCTGTGTCGAGCCTGTGTGCTGTGAGAGAGAGTTGTTCGCCGATAACGATTGGGGTAGGGGCCCTAACTCGTGATAGGCCACTAGTTTCCCGCAGGAGACTCACGGAGATCCTCTCCTCTCCTACCTCTTCTTCTGCCTCTGCGTCCTTCACGGACTCTCCGTGGACATCTTTTACTTCATCTTTTACGGAAGTTTGAACTTCCGTGCGTGTCGGGCGCTCCCGCCCGCTCGCTGCTCTGATGAGCGCGGCTTCCGCTGCTCTCTCCTGCTCACCTGGCCATGACGCCGCTCCTCGTCCTTGGCCGCGCCAGGCTCTCCTTCCTACTGCGCCAGCCCTTCGGCTGCACCAGTTCTTTCTTCTCCGTGCAGGATCTGTGCGTCTGCGCCATTGTTGCTGTTGCTGGCGACTGTCCTTGGCAGCAGTGCACGATGGGCGATGGCCTCATCTGCTTGCCTGCGATGCTCTGCGGTCGCCTCGGCCCTGCCACAGCGGCCTCGTCCACCTGGAGACCTGAGTCGGTGGCTCCACAGCCCGCTCTGAGGAATGCTGTTGCATCTCAACTCGTGGCGTGCCTCTCTCTTCTCTCCGGCCTCGTGCTGCAGATGTGGCTGAGCTCTGCGCTCAGGTGGCTCTGGGATATCTCCTTTCCAGGCAGCACCCCAGTGCCGCCTCGTGGGCGGCGTGGCGGGCGGCCAGCTGTCACTGCTGCCTTCCCTCTCGAGT